CGCGGCCGCGACCGAAAAAAATCCCCACCAGCGGTACCTGGAGGCCGTTTACCTCCACGGCACTTGTCGTCGTTCTTATTCCGCCGTTCCTGCCCGTTTCGGATGCGTTCTCGCTGCTCCTGCTGGCTCGTTTGCTGTTCCAGTTTGTGAATAGCTTCCGGGTCCAGGGCTTCGTGTTCGGCAGAGTACCTAGGAAACATGGTTTGGCCGCTTCCCTTTCTCTCCTGGTCACCGCCATCCTGTGCAAGTGGGGCGCACTCGGACTCCCACTCGTCATGGTCATCGTGCCTGTCTGCCTTCTTACGTCCTGTTGGACGCTGAGCCCGCGTCTGTGCCGGGCGTTGCTCTGTTTTGTTTGTCCCGGTTGTTTCGGCGCGGCCCGCCCTAGTTTTGCCCAGCTTTCGACCTGCGAGCCCGCGTGCCCCAAACATATCCTCATTAGCCCATTCAGCAACAATGCCCAGACGAGTTGCCTTCATCAGAGAAGTGGGGGGAGGGGGCATACATTAAACCAAATGTTCGGGAAGCCTTCATACGCCAACAGGGGGACGATGGAGGATAAATCGGAGGAGACACAGGAGGACACGGATGAGGAGGAGAAGGGAGGGGGAGGAAAAAGGAGGAACAGGGAGGAGGGATAAGACATTAGAAGAGGCGGATGAGGACGTGGAGGGCGAACAGAAAAGCAAAAGGCCGCTTGGCTGCCCCTCGGAGTCTCCTGGGATGTATCGTGGGAGTTTCTTGGAGGCTTCTTGGAGCGTCTGTGGAGCCTCTTGCCCAGGCTGGGGCTTGCAGCTGCACATCGCGCTCTCGAAAAAATATTCGTTCCACGGCGCACGCGTGCCGCTGGCCATATTCAGTCGCAGCACCGTCCAGCGAAGCACGGGGCACGTAGAAGGGACCGACGGTCGGACACTTAGTTCGGACCGCGGAAAAGGACGACTCCAAATGTAAGATGTAAGACTCACCCACCCCAAGGACACGCGAGGATTATATGCCTTGTGCCGCTTGCCGAGGCTGCTCATTATGTTGCCATGCCAGTGTCATGCCGTTGCCATGTTGTTGCCGTGGTATTGCCATGCTGTTGCCATGAAAAGGCCATGCTGTGTCCACGATGCTGTCATGCCGTTGCCATGCTGGTACCATGCAGGTGCCCTGATGGTTCCATGCTGGTACCATGCTGTTCCCACGCTGTGGTCATGCTGTTGCCCTGCTCGTTCCATGCCGTTGCCGTGATGTCGCCAAGCGCCATACAGGTGTCATGTCATCGCTATCGCCATTCCGTCGCACTGCCAATGCGTGATGACTTGCGGGGCGACTCGCGGGTTGGTTTTGGCAGGTCCACGCGGGAAGGCCAAGTCAGAGGAGCAAGGCGTCAGGAATGTCTTGAAACGGTCAGGCTGCCACGCTACCACCATGCAGATGCTATACTCGTGCCGCGCAGTTGCCATGACATTGCCATGGCGGTGCCGTGTCATGGCCTTAACAATTATCCCTCGGACTTGCGCAAGTCAACGCCATTGCCATGTTATTGCCATGCTACCGCCATGCACACCCCAAAATCTTGTCACGCGTTTGCCATATTATTGCCACGCAGGTGCCGTGCAGTTGCCATGCTATTGTCATGATATTGCCATGCAGTTGCCATGCGGTTGACATACGATGGCCATTCAGTTCCCATGCGATTGCCATGCAGTTGCCATGCTACATGCCAGTGCCATGCGAGTGCCATGCAGTTGCCAACAGATTGTCCTGCAATTCCCATGCAGTTGCCATGCTAGTTTCATGCGATTGTCATGCATGTGCCATGGAATTACCATGCTATTGCCATGCGATTGCCATGCTATTGCAATGAGGATGTCATGCTAGTGCCATGCAGTTGCCACGACATTGCCATGTTATTTTCATGCGAGTGCCATGTCATTGCCGTGCGATTGCCATGTAGTTGCCATGCTGTTGCCATGCAGTTGTCATATGTTTGCCAAACTATTGCCATGTTATTGCCATTACGTTGCCATGCAAGTGCCGTGCCATTGCCAGCTTATTGTCCTGCGAGTGCCATGCTATGGCCGTGCGACCGTCATTCAGTTGCCGTGCAATTGCCATGACGTTGCCATGCTATCGCCATGCGATTGTCGTGCAGTTGTCATACTAGCGCCATGCGAATGCCATGCAGTTGCAATGCTATTGCCATGCAGCTGCAACGCGTTTGCCATGTCATTGCCATACGATTGTTATGATAGTGCCATGGTAGTGCCATGCGATTGCCAAGCAGTGGCCATGCTAGTTTTATGCGAGTATCATGCATGTGCCATGGAATTACCATGCAGTTGCCATGCGAGTGTCATGCTATTACCATTCTCGTGCCATGCGACGGCCATGCAGTATCCGTGCCAGTGCCATGCAGTTGCCATGGTATTGCCATGCAGTAGCCATGCCAATGCCATGCAGTTGCCATGGTATTGCCATGCGAGTTCCATGCGAGTGGCATGCAGTTGCCATGGTATTGCCATGCGATTGCCGTGGCGTTTCCATTGCGTTCCCATGCAGTTGCCATGTTATTGCCATGCGATTGCTTTGAAGTTTCCTTACCATTGCCATGAGATCGCCATGCAGTTGGCATGCCAGTGTCATTGGGGTGCCATGCAGTTGCCATGCTATTGTCATGCGAGTGTCATGACGTTGTCATGCTATTGCCATGGCATTGTCATGCGTGTCATGCGATTGTCATGCAGTTCCCATGCCAGTGTCATGCAGTTGCCATGGGATTGTCATGCGAGTTCCATGCGATTGGCATGCAGTTGCAATGCAATTGCTCATGCAGTTGCTATGCATTTGCCATGCTATGACCATGCAGTTGTCATTATTTTGCCGTGCACTTGCCATGCTAGTGCCATGCGACCACCATGCAGGTGTCATGCTCTTGTCATGCGTGTGTCATGCAGTTGCCATGGTATTGCTATCCGAGTGCCATGCAGTTGCCATGATAGTGTCATGCGATTGGCATGCACTTGTCATGCAATTGCCGTGCAGTTGCCATGCTAGTGCCATGCAGTTGCCAAGCAGTTGTCATGCTTGTGCCATGCGATTGTCATGCAGATGCCATGTTATTGCCCTGCTATTGCCATGCTAGTTGCCACGCAGTGTCCATGCAGTTGTCATGCTTGGGCCATTCGATTGTCATGCGAGTTTCATGCAGATGCAATTGTATTGCCTTGCTACTGCCATGCGATTGTCATGCAGTTGTCATGCGATTACCATGCAGTTGCCATGCGATTGTCATGCAGTTGACATACTATTGCCATGCGTGTGTCATGCAGTCAAAGTGTTACTGTCATGCGAGTGGCATGCAGTTGCCATGCTAGTGTCATGCGTTGCCAAGCTATTGCCATGCGATTGCCATGCAGGTGTCATGTTGTTGTCATGTGATTGCCATGTACGTGTCATGATATTGCCATGCAATTGCCATGCTAGTGCATTGCGATTGCCATTCGATGGTCCTGCTATTGCCATCACGTTGCCATGCAGTTGCAATGCGATTGCCATGCTATTGCCATGGGGTTGCCATGCAGTTGCCATGCGATTGTCATGCAGTTGCCATGCAGTTGCAATGCTAGTGCTATGCTAGTCCCATGCGATTGCCATGCAGTTGCCATGCTAGTTCCATACGAGTGCCATGCATGCCAGTGCGTCGCCATGCTTTTGCCATGCGATTGCCATGCAGGTGGCATGCTATTGCCATGCAGTTGCCATTGAATTGCCATGCAGGTACAATGCAGTTACCAGTTGCCGTGCGGTTGCCATGCAGTTGCCATGCGATTGTCATGCAGGTGCCATGATAGTGCTATGCGGTTGTCATGCTAGTGTCATGTTATTGCCATGCAGGTGTCATGTTAAAGCCATGCGATTGCCATGGAATTGCCATGGAATTGCCATGCAGGTACACTGCAATTACCATGCAATTGTCATGCAGTTTGCATACTCTTGCCATGCGATTGCCGTTGCCATGCGGTTGCCATGCAGTTGTCATGATATTGCCATGCAGTTGCCATGAGATTGCCATACGATTGCCAGGATATTGCCATGCTATTGTCATGCACTCGCCATGCGGTTGCCATGCTATTAGCATGCAGTTACAATGCCAGTGCCATGCAGTTGCGATGCGGTTGTCATGCACTCGTCATGCACTTGCCATGTTGGTGCACTGCGATTGCCATCAAGTTGCCATGCTATTGCCATGCACTTGCCATGTAGTTCATGCTATTGCCATGCTGCTGCCATGCAGTAGCCATGCTATTGCCATGCGTTTACCATGCAGTTGCCATGATTTTGCGATGCAGTTGCCATGCTATTGCCATGCCATTGTCATTCGATAGCCATGCAGTTGCCATGCAGCTGCCATGCTAGTGCCATGCAATTGCAAGGCGATGACCATGCAGTTGCAGTGATAGTTCCATGCGGTTACCGTGCAGTTGCCATGCGATTGCCATTCAGTGACCATGCTATTGCCATGCGTTTACCATGCCATGTCCATGCGATTGCCATGCAGCTGCCATGCTAGTGCCATGCAGTTGCCAAGCAGTTGTCATGCTTGTGCCATGCGATTGCCATGCTGCTGCCATGGCATTGCCATGCAATTGCAATGCGATTACCATGCAGTTGCCATGGCGTGCCATGCGATTTCCATGCTATTTCCATGCTGTTGCCAGACTATTACCATGCTATTGCCATGCTATTGCCATGCGGTTGCCATGCAGTTGCCATGCTATTGCCATGCTGTTGCCATGCAGTTGCCATGCTATTGCCATGCGATTGCCATGCTATTGCCATGGGGTTGCCATGCAATTGCAATGCAGTTGCCATGCAGTTGCTGGTGTTGCCATGCAGCTGCCATGCTGCTGCCATGCAGTTGCCATGCTGCATGGCAATAGCATGGAATGGTAACAACATTGCAATGTCCTAACAATGTCATGGCAATTGCATGGCCATAGCGGACCTACTGAAAGGGTCAAAATCCCCATTTGTTTTCAGGGGCTCCCGAAGCCAGCCTAGAGGAGTACGGCGGCGCCCGCCGCGAGGCCCTGGCGAGCGCCGCTGGCCTGCAGCTGCGGGTCGCCGTGGAGTCTGGGCTGGTCAGGATGCGAGGCGACAGCGATGCTACGGCGCGTGCCCAGTGTCTGTTGCACGCCCACGCTGCGGGTCTTAGCGGCGACGGCGCTCTGGCTTTCCCGCCGCCCAGTGCCGAGGCCCTCGACGGCACGGAGGCGGCGTGCAGGCCAGCTGGACTGAGTCCCACCGTGGTCGAGGTCCCGGCTGCGCTGAGGAAGGACCTTTCAGAGAAGATTCAGAAGCTGTTGGACGAGCACGGCACGTTCGCAGCCTTCATTGGCACCCCAGGCGACCTCCACGCCATGTTGGAGGTGGGCCAGAAGGTGGAGGCCAAGTTTGGCGACAGTTTCTTCGACGCCGAGGTGGTGGAGGCCTCCGCGAGCAGCGTCAAGGTGCGCTACGTGTACGACGGTTCTGAGGCAGATGTTGCGAGATCGGAGGTGCGCGCAAAGGCTGGCGCTCCAACAGTTTCGGCTGGACAGGCAGTTCAGGCCAAGTACGGGAACAGCATGTTCGACGCAGAGGTTGTCGACGTCGTGCGCGATGGCGACCAGGTCTTCATGGTCAAGGTGAAGTACAAGTACGACGGGAGCGAGGCGGAGCTTCCACAAGAAGAGGTCAAGACCAGCTCAGAAGAGAAGCCCGAGCAGATGAAGTCCCTTTACATCTACGGACAGGACCGGCCCCGAGTTGTCTGTGCCCTTCAGATATGCAAGTTGTTGTCGTTTCGCAAGTTCGGCGGTGATCCCAAGTATGTGTACGGTCGCCCAGACGATCCGACGAACGTCGCTGGTATCTCCAAGCAGATCCTCACCGCTACTGGCAAGATCCTTGGAACCCAGGGTGCCACCAGGAACAAGCTTCAGAAGGTCACTGGCGCAGCCGTCGAAGTGATCGGAGAGAAGACTGACGAAAAGCAATTCGCACTGATTGCAGGCACTCCGGAGGAGCGGCGCATCGGTGCGAACATGATTAGCCTGGTCCAGTCGGACGACAAAAACCACATCGAAGGGATACCCCCTGAGTTGGAGTCCTTCAGCAGCCGCCTGTACCTGCCGGAGGCGGCTGTGAAACGCGTCATGGGTGGCAAGCGGCAGAGGATGAACGAGATGGAAGACAACATCCAGTTGCGCTGCCGCGCGATTCCGCCACCGCGCCGCGGGGGGGGGGCGCCCTTGTTTTGTCTGGGGGGGGAGGTGGAAGGGTCCATGGACCCATCCTTCCCCAAGCTATGTATTTGGGACCATGTTCTGCCTGGAAGCCGAAACACGCAGGGACTTCGCAAAATCGCTGCAAACGCGGTGGCGGATGAGCGTGCTCGTCTACAGCTTGTCCAAGGGCACGACGTCGTCGGAAGGCCCCATCGAACGGCCACCTCTTCCACGGAAGGGACTCGTCGTCGAGGGGAAGTACGGCGATCAGTGGCACGCGGCAACGATCGTCGAGGTCCCCGACGAGCTGGACAAGCCACTGAAAGTAAGATGGCAGTGCAACGACACCGAGGGGGAGCTGCTCCGCGCAGAGACCCGGGACGCGAATCCCAGTAGCGAGGTGGTGGCCGCGAGAGAGTGTGCTGAGAAGTCGGCGTCCCTCCACTGCTTAGGCGTTTTCGGGGCAGGCGATAAGCTCCCAGACGCAGTCGTGCGGATCATGGGACTCGTGGAGACAGATGAGCCAGGCACGTACGTGCCCACCGGGGACAAGCCGGCACTCATCGAGGTGCCAGGCGACAAGCAGGTGCAGGTCTCGCAGGAGGTGGAGAAACTAAAGAAGGAGGCGGAAGATGCAAAGTGGAGCCAGAAGTGGGAGGAAGCGAGGTGGAACGACCAGAAGTGGGACTACCGAAATGGCAACCAGAAGCGGGACGACCATAAGGAGGACCAGAAGTGGAACGAGCAGAATAAGTGGGACGACCGAGAGGGAAATCAAAGGTGGAACGAACAGAATGGGGACAAGAGGACGAACGACAAGAATTGGGACGCCCGCAAGAGAAGCCAGAAGTGGGACGACCACAAGGGCGACAAGAAGTGGACCGACCAGAGCTGGGAAGACCGCATGGAAACCAAGACGTGGGACAATCAGAAAGGGGACCAGACGTGGAGCGAGCAGAAGTGGGACGAACGAAAAGGTATCCAGAAATGGGATGACCAGAAGGGGAACAAGAAGTGGAACGATCAAAAGTGGGACGACCGCAAGGGGAACCAGAAATGGGACAACCAGAAAGGGGAGCAGACGTGGAACGAGCAGAAGTGTGACGACCGAGGGGGAGACCAGAAGTGGGACGATCAGAAATGGGACCAGAAGTGGAACGACAAGAAGTGGGACGACAGAGAGGGAAGCCAGAAATGGGACGACCAGAAAGGGGACCAGAAGTGGAACGACAAGAAGTGGGACGACCAGAAGGAAAGCCAGAAGTGTGACAACAAGAAGGGGGACCAACAGTGGAATGACAACAAGTGGGACGACCGGCAGGGAAACCAGAAGTGGGACGACCAGAAAAGGGATCAGAAGTGGAACGGCAAGAAGTGGGACGACAGAGAGGGAAACCTCAAGCGGGACGACCACACGGGGAACCAGAAGTGGGACGACCGGAAGGGAAACCAGAAGTGGGACGACCAGAAGGGGGACCAACAGTGGAACGACAAGAAGTGGGACTCTCGAGAGGAAAACCAGAAGCGAGAGAATAAGCCTAAGGGGCGCGACAGTGGCGGTGCTCGGGGCGGGGCCGACTCGGGCAGGTCATGGATCGAGCAGACATGGGGCGACTGCGGCAGTGGTGGGGATGCCACCAGCGGCCATGGAGACAGACCTGGGTCTCTGGCATACAAGGACCACGGGGGCGGTGGCGACTCCTCCTGGGGCGGCGGAAGCGGCGACTCCTGGAAAGACGGGGGCCGCAAGGGGGCGTGCGCGAGCGGCCAAGGCGGCGGCGAGGGCTCCCCAGACGGCGCCGGCGAGCAGCATCAGGAGGCCGTGGCTGCCATGGCCCAGGAGGTGCAGGCGACCCAGGTTCCGCAGGCGGCGCCGTGCGACCCCAGGGAGAGGCTGAACAGATACCCCTGGCCACAGGACATGCCAACGTGGCAGCAGATGCAGTCGATCCTCTTTGAGGGCCACCCGCCCTTGCCGTCGGGCTGGGTCCGCTGCTGGTCCAGATCTCAGGATCAAGAGTATCCAGGAGCGCTGCCGCGCGAGTCCGCCACCGCGATTGGGGGGCTCCTGGGGGAGTAGGTGGGGCTGGGCCGGACTGGGCCGGGTGGTGCGCGGCGGGGATATCGTCGAAACCGCTGTCACCATCGACGAGATAATTCCACACGGCCATGTCTGAGAGCTTGGACTCCTGCCTCGTGACCAGACGAAGAAGATAAACACGTACATGCAGCACCAAAAGAGGCTTTCAGTTTGTTGAGCCAAAACGGCTTACGATGGATGCTTGGATGCTGCGAAGGTGGGGCGTAGATCCCAGGCGCTTTGATTTTCGGCGCGCTTCCGAAAAGCGCGGAAAGCATCGAGCGCAGGGGCCTGGCCAACAGAGATCGCATACATGACGGCAGAAGGTCCCACACAGCGTTGTAGAGCACGGGGGGATCTAAGGGGAGCGCCACAGAGATCATTCATAGCTTTTATTTTGATGATAAGCGACGCGATCGGAGGTTGATAGACCTCCTACCCTGACTCGTCGACTCGGTTCGCGAGAGGGCGTCGCGGCCGTCACTTTTTTGCGGGTGCAGGTCCGTCGGTTTCGGTCCTAGGCAGTTTTCATTGAAGAGTGGTTTGCTAAAGGGAGGTTTGTCCACCGCCGACGCGATGTCATACACTCACAGACAATGGCCCCACTTATGTGTGATACGTTTTAGGAGACCAACCACACGAGATCCGACCCAGCCATGATCCGATCTGCTTCATAGGTTAGAACCTGATGTCAATCAGACCTGCGAAGCTATACCAGTCGGTGGTTCGCCATATCTGGCCGTGGCACGATGTAGCTAACACATTCATATCCTTGGACATGCGTTGAACGATGCTGCGGCAGTACCAACCTACATACAACAATGTGGGCCAGACGCGCGCTTTCGTTCGCGCGCAAAACAACACCTTTCAAACTACGGCTTCGCATTTCCAAACCAGGCTCTCAAACGCTATATGGGCACACATGTTTGCATCACGTATGAAGTTTCCCTTCCGAAGATTTTGAGCGTGGCGCGCCGATGTGTACCCGTTTTCCGACCAAGATGCACATATGAGTTTGCCAGTTTGCACGGACTTCTGAGGCGATTCGGTGGACAACGTGATAATACCCTGAACGGTCGTATAAGAGTCGCGCCTTTCTTATTCACCATCTGTGACTGTTCGGACGCGATGAGTCGACCAGGAGTAATGGAAACATGTGTTATGCAACGGTTGGCGGGTGGGTGTGGTCCGTCATGTTAAAAAAAAGGCGGGTCATACGGTACCACCGCTTTGAATACCAACGAATGTTGCATCCTCTTGTGAGCTAGGCCGCCCCCCAAAAAACACAAGCACGCCCACACAACTCTTCCGATGTATGTACCAAACTTTCAAGCAGTGACCACACGCCAGTTGATGGTCCGCCCCGTTCGTCTTGGCCACGACCTCTTAAAACAAAACGTATGCATTGAGCGTGTGTTGATGTATTGTGGTGGCCTTCGGCCAGTGCCGCCGATCCGGGCCGTTCGGATACATATTACGCGGGCACCTCACGCACGCACACGACCAAATGCCCATACGGCAGACACACATACAGAGACACACTAGGCGCACGCCAGACACTAGCACGCACAGACATTCGCAGACACGCACCACACACAGACACTCGCACAGGAGCCTGTCAGGGCGTCGTGGAGGCTTCTTGGGGGCTTTGGGAGGCCCTCTTGGGGGCTCCTGGGGGCCTCGTGGGCTGGAAGGCTAGATTTGTTTCGCTTTTCGTCCCTCTTTTGGGTCCTCTTGGGGCCGTCTTGGGGGCCTCTTGGGCCGTCTTGGGCGGCTCTTGGGCCGCCTTGGGGCCTCTTGGGCCGTCTTGGGACTGTCTGGGGGCCTCCTGGGCCGTCTTCGAGCGGTCTTGGGGGCCTCTTGGGCCGTCTTGGAGCGTCGGAAAGCGGAAAAAAACGACAACCCCAAAAATATGGAAAACAAAAAAAAACAAAAATCAAAAAAAACAATGGAAATCAACGATCTTTGCCTCTGGGTGCCCTCGTGGGAGGCCTCTTGGAGGCCTCTTCAGACGTCTTGGAAGGCTCTTGGGCCGTCTTGGGGCCATCTTGGGCGTGTTCGGGCGATCTTTCGGGGTCTCGGGACTTTCTTAGACCGTCCTCAGAGACTTTTGCGGCCGCGGCCACCCTTTTAGCGCATCCTCGAAATTAGAGTCTTCTGTAAAAGCAGCCCCCCGCGACCGCCGGAAAACTCGTACCCCCCACCCCACCCCCCACCCCCCTTTCCCCGGCAACCCCCCCAGAGGCTGAGGCTCAGCCTCGAGGCTGTAGCTGAGACTCCTTGAAACTCACACGCCGGATCGGCGGATTTACAGCCGCGGCGCTGCGATGAGGACTTTGTTTGGTTCCGTACGGGCTTGCGTTCTCGGGCCTCTCTTCAGGTCTATGCCGAAGAACCTGTTTATGGCCCAGGCCCGCCGCGGTCAGAAGAGCCCCGTCGTTCTTTATTATGCGTTCCTTATAGTAGCACGCTTACTGTACGTTGCCTGTCCTCACGAAGTAACGCAATGATGCAAGCCACACGTGCGCGCGCTAGCGTGCCCAAGACAAGCATTCAGAGGCAAATATTTTCCAACAGTTCCAAGACACAGGTCTCCAAGCACACACAACATGGTTCCCCAATCTTCATATCCAGAATGATGTCGGATGTGTTACCGGTTCGCTAATGTTCAGCAAATACACGTGCATGTCATCGTCATACGGCACGCATTTACGAAGGGGTTCGGCGAACAATTTGAAGGATTGACTTTTACAATCGGACTGAAATGCATGTTATGGTTTTCATGGGCATATTGAAATTGTTTGGATGCGAGTGGGCTCGAATAAGTAAAGCATGATGGTAGGGTGGGCGGGCGGGTAGCACGATGGCATTCCGCAGCAAGCCAAACTATACGAAATTGCATCTGAAAGTTGCTGCTCTCGTGAGCTGGACTGGTCCCGATCCGCCCCCCTCACCCGCATTGTCTTCTGCGCGTCCTATGTTCGACGGGCGCAACGCCCAGTCCATTCCCAAGCCCATACAATTCCGTGGTCCGCCCGATGCGGCCCGGGCAACATCCATTCCAACATGATGTATCGTTGCGAGTCCCAGGGAAGCATCTGTCGCGAGCCACCATACACGCGATTACCCGCGCGCGCAACAAGAACAACATCGTGTTCCCGAGTCGCATCAAGATTCACTTACTCAAGTAATACGAGGAACTATGTCCTTTGAAGCAGGCGCCGCATGCCTACGTTTGTTCGGTTGGTCGGTTTGTTGGTTTGTCGGTTGGTCGGTTGGCAATTCGATATGTTGGTTTGTTAGTGCAAATTAATGTTGGCAGTGGGATGTTGTGGGTTGCTGCCTGGTTGATTGCGCGCATCTGCAGTACTTGATATGATATGGTGGCCTCGGGAGCTCGCTTTCATTGTGAGTTTGCTAGGGTTCGCGGCTTTGGAAGCGCGCGTCCTTAGCTGGTTGGAGAGGGGGGAGGGGCGACAACAAACAAAACCCCACCTCCCAATACAGGAAGTGGCACTTTCCCTGCTCCGAAGAGACGGGCAGCCTCTCAGGGGGTGGATTCGCGGCCGTGGGGGTACGACTTTGTGGCAGTCTACGAATGGTTGTGGCCTCGGGAGCGCGAACGTGCACTTATTTACTGGGGGCTGTGGCCTCGGGAACACGAGCGCGACGCAACTTGCGAGGAAATATGGCCTCGGGAACGCGAGCGCCTTATACGTTACAAAAAGCTTGCGGCCTCGGGGGCACGAGTGTGTCGTATTGTATTGCGGGGATCTCATTTCGGGAGCGGGAGCGCGAGGTAATCTACAACGGGTTGTGGCCAAGGGTGACGTATAGTATTTTTGTTGAAGACGCCTGCGGCGAATCTCCGCCGCCCCCTATCGCGGGCGATGTTTCTCCCCCAATCCCCGAGTTTCGCCCGAAAAGTCTGGCCGCTCAGAAGAATGGGAAAACCCTGGGATACACCCCAAGGGGGCTATTCGGACGCACCCCTATCGAGGATGGGCACCTTCCCATCGTATATCCCAGGGTTAGGCCCCAAATTTCTGGTCCATTCGGAAACCCCACGAAGCCTGGGATAGGGGTCGACATATCCCCTGTTACCCTACCTTGAGAATGCGCTTATGTGGCCAAACATTTAGGGCGAAGTTTGGCAACGCTAGTGGACCCTGCGTTCCCCCAGCCGCTCTGGCGGGGAGCACGCAGGAGGAAGAGGACGATGAGGAAACGGAGGAAAAAGGAGGGGGAAGAGAAGGACGAGGACATCTCTTGGGAGTTTGGGGAGTCATTCCTGGGGCCTCCTGGGAGCTTCCCGGTGGGCATCTCGGAAGCCTCTTGAAGGCCTCCAGGCCTCTTAGGGGCCTTTTGGAGCTTTTTGGGGGCCTGTTTGGCCGTCTTGCGGCTTCTGGCCAGTCCAGCGCCGTCGGGAGCCGTTTTGACAGCCCATTTGGACCGTTTGGGGGCCCTGTTGAGATGTTTCAGGGTCGTTTTGAAGGCCACCTTAGGTGTCTTGGAGTCTTCTTGGGCCGTTTTGGGGCTATTCGGGGGCCGTTTTGGGAGCCCCGTGGGCCGTCCTGGGGCCATTTTGGGGACCTCTTGGGCGATCATGGGGCAATCGTTGGGCCCCATGGGACCGTAGAAGTACCGTTTTGAAGCAGATGCAGACATCCATCAAAAACCACAGGAACATCACTGGTGTTGGCCTGTCGGGCCTTCCTGGAGAACTTCTTGGAGGCCTCCTGGGCCGACTCACGGGCCTCTTGGGCGTTTCTTGACATGTTTTGGGCTGCAATGAGGGGCCATTTTGGACTTCAAAGTGAGCTGCTTAGCTGTATGAGCGACTGGGGGCAAAGCAAGAGCGAGCTTATCCGCGACCGTTCATGCTCAGGTCTCCGACATCCGGGTACCAGTGCGCCTGCTATTTGAGTGGAGGAGCAGATCCTCATCTATCCCTACATCGTCCCCAGTGGCGAGCTTCAGTCTTGAGGCACCTTTCCGACTCTGTGGCGGAGTTGGCTACACATTTGTGTGGCTGGTTCTGTTGCGTCTAATTTTCCACGGCACGATATTGATGACCAATAAGGACCGACATTATTTCAGGGAAGACAGCCAGTAAGTTGGCGTAGGCAGGCCAGCAACGGGCCGGAGCTCGCCAGTGGGCCGCATCCTTGCATGGGGTCTCCTACAAGTTCCAAGATTGTTGCCATCCACGTTCCCAATCGAATTAGTGGTGCATATATGTACAGTTCTACGTCACTACGTTTCGCATTACAACTGTTATCAGCTTGGCAACAGGCTTCCATACGCCGATCTACCATTAGACCACTACGCAAGGCACGAAGACATGCAGCCACAGCCCGTGCGACGCCTAACAGCAGAACACAACGTCCAGGGGACAGAAGAACCTCAATAGTCATTGGCATGCTTTCATTATCTAAAGACTAACCGATTCGGCATCACGCGTGGCGCAGACGACGCTACACACACGAGGACCTCCTTGGGACCCTGCGGGGCCCGCACCCTTCAGGACAGATGTCCAGGAGGCCCATGCGTGACTTAACATTACAAGGGGGCGCTCGACACCACAACAAGCGGCCGTTATTCATCGTTGCCTCTCTGGCCTGGCCCGAAGGATAGCAATGCGCATCCCTTCGCGCATCATCAATCGCGGAGTGTACATTAATGGTGTGGAACCAAATCCCGTCACATACCGCATCTATTCGCGAGGCGCTAAATTTGAACACATAGACGAACGTCAGCTAATTTCGGGTACCCGGCTCATTAGTGAACGGATCGATTCGACATGAGTTAGCTTCGGGATGGCCAGGCTCGAGGCACAATCAGTTGGATATGGCATCCCCAACTTCCCGTTCCCAACCGCCATGCTGTTTCGGGCCCTTCAGGTTGGGCCAGCACGAGCATCGCAGATGCTGCAGCCACTGAACCACCAAATGCCCAGGACCCAAGTGAAATACGATTCCCCATTTGATCGAATGCGGTCTTCCGGTCATATTATCGAAAGGTCCCCCGGGATCATTGGCGGTGCGTTTGGTCGACGACGCGGCATCGCGTCAAAATGCGCCATCTTCCAGACAGACTTCGATTTCCTCAGCGGCAGCGGCGGGGAAGAGATGGCAACTGGCCGCACGGCATGGTCAGATAACTCCGCAGACAACGCGGCCTTCCTTTCAACCCAGGCGATTGGCAGCCAGGCAGCTGGCAACAACTATTGGACTTAGATCGGGTGTATGCAGACCTGTTGTAATTCCCAGATCTCGCCCAGAATCTCCCGAAAATCTCTCCCAGAATCTCCGTCCGGCAGCAGTGGTGGGGCCCCCTCAGATCTCCGGCAGCGGACCCCCCTGACGAAATCTCCAAACGAATCCCCCGAGATTAGAAACCCTGTCCAAATCTCCAGCGAAATCTCCGGGAAGCCCCTTTCAGGTAGAAATTTCCGGCGAAATCTCCGGGAACGGAATCTTCCATAAAAGGATTTCTAGCGCAATTTTTAATAATATTTCCCACAAAAAGGAATCTCATTGTAATGCTGACTAAAAGAAGCCTGTTGGAATCCTATTAAGAATCCGACGGTAACTGTCCATAAAAGGAATGTTATTGCAATCCCCTAAAGGGGCATTTCTATTGTAGAATCCAGGGGGAATCCGATTGACATCTTCTAAGCAAGGAATCCTAATGTCAGCCTTCACATAAGGAATCCTATTGAAATCTGCCACGCAAAAAAAGGAAGTGTATTGCTATCCCCCACAACAGGAATCTTATAGTAATTCTTATACAATAAGAATATTAGTGCACTCCCCCACAACAACCATTTTATTTCCACCCAGAGTAACATAATCCCCTTCTTTAATCTTCCACGAAGGGAATCCTATTGAAATCCGCCGAGCAAGGAATCCTATTGTAGTCCTCCACAGAAGGAATCCGACTGCCATCCTCCATAGACAAGGAATGTTATTGTTATTGTAATTCCGCACACAAGGAGTCCTATCCTATTGAAACCTTACACACAAGGCATCCTATTGAAACCCGCCACAAAAGGAATCCTATTGCAACCTCCCACAAAAAGAATACGAATGTAAGCCTCCACAAATGGAGTCCTATTGTTACCCTCCACAAAAGGACCCCGCAGACAGAATCCGTCTGGCACGTCCCGCGATACACCCGGGCAGATCCCCAGGAACGGCTTCCTGTGGGAAAGGACAGCGTGCCGTTCGCCTCCACTGGTTGGGTCCCTTCCCCTGCTTCGGCACGGCCTCGAGCATCATCCGGATGACGACGGCCCGACGAATATGGTCCAATACCGTTGGCCGCTAGTTCGAAGCGCCAACGATTCGACCCCCTGAGACTTGAAGGCAGCCTTGCTGAATGAAAATCTGATGAATAACGAGGGGGCGTCTACCAAACGTGCTCTTTCGTTTGCCTGCCTGTGCATGCTCGCTCCCTGTCGTGAGGGGCCCAGAGAAGTGGAGACCCCCGGAGTCAGTCCCCGCCGCGTGGCCGATGCCACCGACCCCAGGGCCAAGGGGGGGGGACAGTTTGTAAA